ATTAGGACTAATGAGTCACATGTCCGCCCTGGCTGCTCGACACCCACTACTCTCCCTGTACCCTGACTTAGGGAGCGTCGCCCCTGCCTCCCCCATGACGCCCTTAGGGGGCATGGGGGTGCCCTTAGCTGCCAAAAACCCCTGGTACTCCCCCTGGGCCTTGCCACCCTTGGCTGCTCTCGCGTCGGTCAGGGAGAAAGAAAATGGTGAGTTAAACCTTGATGTTTGGGGGAAATAGGTTCGATACCCGGGTGAGGTAAACTGTGTGTGTGGGTAAGCCTCTTTACGACTGTTGCCCTTTGTCGACCTAATAGTAGGTAAGTACCTGGGTGTTAGGTGACAGTTATGGGTCGCATCATGGGGGAGGTAGTGTACCTAAATAGGGCTGAGTCTTGTAAATGAGCTGAGATAGGATAACAGTTCTTAGCTTGTAAATGAGCTGAGTAGGATGACAATTTTTATCTTGTAAATGAGCTGAGGTAGGATAACAATTCTTATCTTGTAAATGAGCTGAGGTAGGATAACAATTCTTATCTTGTAAATGAGCTGAGGTAGGATAACAATTTTTATCTTGTAAATGAGCTGAGGTAGGATAACAATTTTTATCTTGTAAATGAGCTGAGGTAGGATAACAATTCTTATCTTGTAAATGAGCTGAGGTAGGATAACAATTCTTATCTTGTAAATGAGCTGAGGTAGGATAACAATTCTTATCTTGTAAATGAGCTGAGGTAGGATAACAATTCTTATCTTGTAAATGAGCTGAGGATCAGGCAGGACTACAAATAGATCTGGACAGGATAGAAGCCTGGTCCATCAGCTGGCTTCTTGAATTTAACCCAGTCAAATGCAAAGTCATGACGATAGGGAAAGGGCAAAGAAGACCGCAGACAGAGTATAGTCTAGGTGGCCAAAGAGTGCAAACCTCACTCAAGGAAAAAGATCTTGGGGTGAGTATAATACCGGGCACATTTCCTGAGGCACACATCTGTCAGATAACTGCTGCAACATACGGGCGTCTGGCAAACCTAAGAATAGCGTTCCGATACCTCAGTAAGGAATCGTTCAAGACTCTGTACACCATATATGTCAGACACAGAAACAAGGGGTCACAATTGGAAGTTGAAGACTCCTATAAGTCAAAGGGACGTTAGGAAGTATTTCTTCAGTCATGAAGTTGTCAGGCAGTGGAATAGCCTAGAAAGTGACGTAGTGGAGGCGGGAACCATACATAGTTTTAAGACGAGATTTGATAAAACTCATGGAGCAGGGAGAGAGAGGACCCAGTAGCAGCCAGTGAAGAGGCGGGGCCAGTAGCTATGAATCGACCCCTGCAACCACAAATATGTGAGTACACACACACACACACATATTGCCCTCAGACGCTGCCTCCAGCCTCTTCCTTGCTGCCATGTTTGAAATTCATGATTTGTGTTTGATACCAAGGTATTCTGGTATATTGCCCATTTTGCTTCCATGGACAGCGTTCTTTGTCTCCACAGACGTCTCAGTCCGCCACCCAGTTCACCTCATCTTTCACAGACCCGTCTGTTGACAAGTCCACTCCCACATTCACTTCCTCCATACTCATTCCCTCCAATCTGATATCCAGTCTTTCAATACCTGTTTAATTTTTTATTCACTTACAATTTCCTTCTTTTACATACCCTTCCCAAATTCGTCCACAAACCTTTGCAACTTCCCTTCAGAATCTCCCAAAAGCACAGTCATCGGCAAAGCAACTGTGACAACTCTCACTTTGTATTAGGGAATAAATAACGACATAAGCAAGTTAACCGATGACACCAAAATAGGCCGTCAAATTAATTCTGACGAGGATACTCTAGTGTCCTCGTCAGAATTAATTCGACCACTACATCAGTCTATTCAGGAAGATCTGAACAGACTGATGTAGTGGTCGGTGGAGTGGCAGATGCAGTTTAACGTAGACAAATGCGAAGTTCTAGCGATGGAATGATAAACAACCACGACACTTATAAACTCAGTAATGTAGATCTTAATATTACTGATTGTAAAAAGATTTAGACGACACTGCGAATAGAATCTTTGGATTTATATCAGGAACTATAAATAACGGGAGTCCTCAGGTTGTTCTTCAAGTCTTGTGTATATCGTTGGTTAGATCACATTTAGATTATGCTGCACAGTTCTGGTCACCGTATTACAGAATGAATATAATTGCGCTGGAAAACCTACAAAGAGAATGACAAAGTTGATCCCGTGTATCAGAAATCTTGTATGTATATGGTAGACAACACCGACAAGATGAAAATTAGACACATGTGCAACATATGGGAATCTTTATTATAGACGTTTCGCCACTGGTTAGCGAAATGTTTTTCCATCATCTTGCCTACTAGGATAGATTGAGGGCCCTGAATCTTCCTTTTTAAGACAGGCGTAGAATTAGGGAGGATATGATTGAGGTGTATAAATGGAAAACGGGAATAAATAAAGGGAATGTAAATAACGTGCTAAACTGATCTAACCAACACAGGACTCGCAGCAATGGTTTCAAGTTGGAAAAATTTACCTCAAACTCCTCCTCTCCTTACGACTTTCTGCTTTGTATTGGACTGAAGTCACTGTGTGGCGAAACGTTTCCTCAATAAAGACTCCCATATGTTGCATAAGTGTCTCAATCTTCAGTATGTTAAGTAACCATAGTGACATCACGTATCCCTCGCTAAGGCCTAATTTTACTGAGAAATAATTTCCCTCACTCTTACATATCCTAACCCGAGCCTAGTAATAATAATAATAATAATAATAATAATAATAATAATAATAATAATAATAATAATGATAATAATAATAATAATAATAATAATAATAATAATAATAATAATAATAATAATAATAATAATAATTATTATTATTATTATTATTACTATTACCATTATTATTGTGTAAATATAAAACTTCGCAATATTTTATTATCAATTAAATTTTTCACAATATATTAGAGATTAATCACTGCATTTTTTTTATTCATTTTGAAAAATTTACATAAATCTTAACCATTCAACTTTCTTTCCTCCTAATAGAATAAAAAAAAATTCTTGGGTTGATAAAATTGAAGTTTTTTTCGCCTCCATTCCGTCTGATTTAAGTCCGGCACCAATCAGATTTGTACCCGGTACAAATCTGATTTATAGCCGGCACAAATCTGATTACCGGAGGCTGGAAAGGCTGGGTGTTTAGTGGACGAGACTATGACGGCATCACATCGGAAAGTGTGAACGAGTTGAGTTACGCTTGTTTTTTGACTGTTATTGTTGTGTTTGTTTGGTGGTGGTGGTGGGGGGGTTATGTTTGTTGAAGGTAGTTTTTGCTTCACCCATTATTATACTACACTTATTATCATCCCTCACCCATTATCATGCATCACCCATCATCATCCCTCACACATTACCATCCCTCACCCATTATCATGCATCACCCATCATCATCCCTCACACATTACCATCCCTCACCCATTATCATGCATCACCCATCATCATCCCTCACACATTACCATCCCTCACCCATTATCATGCATCACCCATCATCATCCCTCACACATTACCATCCCTCACCCATTATCATGCATCACCCATCATCATCCCTCACACATTACCATCCCTCACCCATTATCATGCCTCACCCTTTACCATGCCTCACCCATTATCATGCCTCATCCATTATCATCTCTCACCCATTAACATGCCTCACCCATTATCATCTCTCAATGCTCTTGCGATCATGTAATAAAAATCGCCCCATTTAATATTACCCATTAAAATCCCATTTTTTCTGGCTTTATAACAGCTAATGGCAAAAACAAATTAAAAATACTCTTTGATGTTCAACTCAGCTTCGGTCAGTCAGTCAGTCAGTCAGTTAGTCAGGCAGCCAGGCAGGCAGTCAGTCAGGCAGTCAGGCAGGCAGTCAGTCAGCCAGTCAGGCAGTCATTCAGTCAGGCAGTCAGGCAGTCAGTCAAGCAGTCAGTCAGGCAACAGTCAAGCAGTCAGTCAGGCAACAGTCAAGCAGTCAGTCAGGCAGTCAGTCAGGCAGGCAGTCAGTCAGGCAGTCAGTCAGGCAGGCAGTCAGTCAGCCAGTCAGGCAGTCATTCAGTCAGGCAGTCAGGCAGTCAGTCAAGCAGTCAGTCAGGCAACAGTCAAGCAGTCAGCCAGGCAGTCAGTCAAGCAGTCAGTCAGGCAGTCAGTTAGTCTGCCATTTTAAAATTGCATTCTGGATGTCTTTAATACTTTTTTTATACAGTATATGTACACAGAGAGGTGTGTATGTCAGTGTATGTACTGTACACAGAGAGGTGTGTATGTCAGTGTATGTACTGTACACAGAGAGGTGTGTATGTCAGTGTATGTACTGTACACAGAGAGGTGTGTATGTCAGTGTATGTACTGTACACAGAGAGGTGTGTATGTCAGTGTATGTACTGTACACAGAGAGGTGTGTATGTCAGTGTATGTACTGTACACAAAGAGGTGTGCATGTCAGTGTATGTACTGTACACAGAGAGGTGTGTATGTCAGTGTATGTACTGTACACATAGAGGTGTGTATGTCAGTGTATGTACTGTACACAGAGAGGTGTGTATGTCAGTGTATGTACTGTACACAGAGAGGTGTGTATCTCAGTGTATGTACACACAGTGGTATGTATCTGTTTTAGTGTTGAGAGTGGCCATCTAGAGGGCAGATGAGCAGTTACTCTAGCCAGCACATTCACAACCCGAGTTGTGGGGGGTCCGCTCACCAGGTGTTGTCGCTGACTATTGATACAGAATGGAAAATTGATACGAAATCCTCCCCTCCCTTTCACCCTCTCTCTCTCTCTCTCTCTCTCTCTCTCTCTCTCTCTCTCTCTCTCTCTCCCTCCTTCTCTCCTGGTTATCCTAATTCTTTTACCCTTTCTTTCTATTCTAATTAAGAGACCATCTCCTAGAAACGCCCCTTTCTACCCTTTCATCCTCCCACCAAGTCTTCTTTCAATTTCAGTTTTCTCTTATAACCAAAAACAAAGAAAACACCGACGCTGTTTCCTGCATATGACAGCCGAACTAATAGCGTTTGCACACAGCTTCACCACTCCGTACGTCAGCCTTAACATGCGCACCTCCAGTGGTCCGAAACGTGTTAGCATTTCACTAAGACTTGTCTCGGTGAGAGCTATGGTGTCT